ATCAAAAACTTACAGAGTACATTGTTTTGATGTATTTGGCAGTTCTAGAGATATGCCAAAGCATCAGTCGATCTCTAGAGCCTTGCCTACCCATTTCCGTAATGCTGGCGTTGCAAACTCCGACCTATAACAATACGTGGAACCATTCTCCACCTCTTATAAGTCAATCCAGCTCAGTGAAAACATATCTAGTACTTTTTTGGCTGCAGAAGTGTAAGATATGCGCAGAAGCAAAGTCAGGGAAAGAAAAGCATATGAAAATAAGAAAAAGATGTTAGATTCTTACCTGAAAAGCCTCATCTCCTCCCATGTGGAAAAATGGCATCCCAAATTTTTTGTGCACAGCAGCAACTTGATCAACCATATCCGTTATAAGTTGCCATGCCTCTGCTTCAGGGAAACAGATTACCTTAACATGTTATTTCAATGATTAAAAAGAGAATTAAAAAAACGAATAAGATCATTATGTAAAGAAAAGATATTACTGCAATGATGACCCAGAACAAAAGTAGTAGTCCACACCTGTGGGAATCTGCTATCTTCTCTAAGGTGAGCAAATTTTTCGAGCTTCAAAATCCATTCCAGATGGCCAAATGTTTGCACAAGTGGAATCACATCAAGATGGTGGCGTTTGGCTTCCTTCAAAATGTACTCGACCTAAAGAGACCAGCTTCACATAATAAAATGGCCCGCTTAAGAACTGCAATTCAGGAATGCGATAAAAAGAAAGGATGGCGCGCAGCCGATGCTTCGACTTCTATCTAATTTGTAAAGTTTTTAATGAAACGGAGAAAAAATCATCTACTTCCAATGCAACCGGAAAAGTAGTTTGATTGCGATGATAATAAGTGGCCTTTCTCTGTTTTTACATCAAGTTACTACAATTGAAAATTCTAAAACAAAAGACAAAATATGATAGAAGCAATCAATTAACAAAATAAAACCAAGATTTTACGTACATTTTCCATAGAGTAAGCATTTCCGTTGACTGCATCCGATAGATTTCCTGTGTACGGAAACATGTCCTCCCACTCAATCAAAACTCCAGTTGCTTTTATACGATTGAAAAAGTAGAATAACTCAGAGAGAAATTCAGGCTATAAAGCTTGAATTTAAAAATAATCACCCAATATTCTTCCAAAAAGTTTTCACCTTGTAGGCGCCTCCTTTCAAATCTACATGAATGATGCGTCGATGAGGAATGAATTTCCCGCTTGTACTTATATGTGGATAGGATGCGTCATCTGGATCTCCTTTACCATTATTTTGCACTTGCTTGCCAAAAACATCATTGGGAGCAATCGCATTAACAACAGGGAGCTGATCCTGTTCCTGGTCTGCTTTGTAAGCCCTGGGCAAAATAAATGGATTAATTGGACTGCCAGCCATACAAAAGAAGGAAGTCTAACTATTCTAGCTGACAACCTTAAGAAATTATTCTCTTTCCGTCAAAAAAAAAACAGAAAAAAAAACATGGGACAATAGATAGGTGGTGCAACTCAGAGTTCGCTCAAATTTCAGAGAAACTTCGCAATATTTCTTTCTTTTTTCACTGAAGAATATGCGACAAAAGTCATTTCAACCAGGAAGTTATTGTCGAAGGAAAACGTCTGAAATCAGCTCATGCATGAACAAAGTCGCGTTGCAAGATACTGTCATTTTTCTATTGAGAAGACAACTTATGGTTTAAAAACGGCAATTTTTTCTAGCTGGATAAGAATAAGAAATGAAAAACTATAAAAGCTGGAAACAGATCTTACATTACATCAGGTCCATCTACTCTATCTGGATCGACACCATCGCCATCTTCGTTTTTTATAATTGGAAGAGGAGCTGGCTCTCTCTGTGCACCTCCTGGATGCTCATGATTGGCATACTCCTTCGATTCGTCCGGCAAAGGTTGGACGCCTCGATCCTACACGAAGAGAGAGATAGGGGATGGGAAAATGATGAAGCGATATTCCAAAAACCCACCTTCTCAAAAGGAGCAACAATCGCCTTCGCAAACGATTGTGAATTCTTTAATTGACTGGATAGAAAGAAGAATAAGCAACTGAAGCCGGCCAAATAGAGCAGCTTTAAGCAGCCGCCCCGCGGTTTACGTACAAAACGAAGGACCATGCCAGTCCCGTAAAGGCTAACAACAGTCAATACATCACAACTGAAACGGAATATCTCAG